TCCTCTCCCGCTCTTTGCCCTCCGTCTTTCCCCCTCCCTCCCTCCTTCTTGACATTCACTCATTCATTCTTTTGCTGTACTAGAGACGGAACCTAGGGTCCCGTGCCTGTTAAGCAGTACCCCTGTGCTACACCCCAGCTCCTCCCTTTCTTGACGCCCCTGTCTGGAGGCCACCGTGCCCTAATGTGGGCCCCAAGTCCTGATGTCGACACCCTAGGTGGAAACAAGTTTCTCAGCAACAAGCTCAAGTCCCTTTCATGCTGAGCCGCACTATCGTCCCCAGCCCGTGAAAGCAGAGTGGGGTGCAGCACCTTACACTGAGAGTGGCCAGAAATCATGACCTATAACCTTCGGCTAAGCGCAGGCTCAACGGGGCTGTCTACCACTTGGAAGCCGTTGTGGCCTTTGAAAAAGGCACTTAGCCTCTCTGAACCACGTCACTTCACCCCCGTTGCCACCGCCCCTCCTCCAAGTGGCTCTTTCTAATTTTCCCCTTGCTCCAACCCTGCCAGTAGGCAGCCAGTCCTATTGAAAATCTCATTCACACTCAAGAAGGCTACAAATTGGGTCACTCAGCAGGTGTCCGTCCTGCTAGCGGCGGGGCGGCGCGGACCTGCTTGCACTGGGGAGTGTTAAAGGAGAGGGCGTGCCGAGTTGGCAAGACGAAAGGAGAGAGTGGAGCCTCTCCCCAGATGCCCTCCGCATCGAGGGGTGGCACGGAAGAGGAAAAGGGTTCCGTCTCGTGTTCCACGAAGACAGACTTTAGGAAGGGGAAGGAACTGAGGTGTATCTCTGATCTGAGAGCTGGATAAGACCCACCCTATGGGTGTGGAGCACAGTCCTGGCTCTGAAATCAAACTCCTCCAGTTCAAGACTCCTTCCTCTGCTTTCATGCTGTGTGACTTCAAGATAGGCACTTGCCATCTCTGAGCTTCAGATGTAATGGATCCCATCTATCTGGATGGTTATGAGAATTAGGCAAGGGGTGGGGTTTCATACACACGGAATGGCATTTGGGTCTCTTTCCTCCTCACCAGCCTCCGTCACCATCTTTTACTTTGAAGCCAGAATTAGTGAGAACCACATCTTTCTACAAGCCTCCCTTGCCATGTAGCTTTATCAGTCCATTTAATCTTACCCATCCCCAGGGCAACATCTCGTCTATTTCAAGCCAATTGATACATAAAAAAAAATATGGAGTTTGATCAAACTTCTCATTTTAAAGACACAAATCAAGGTTTAGACAGGTGACAACGTGCCTCTTAAGTTACTTGGCAAAACAGATATTTCTTTGCTAAGACAAGTGACCTTTTAGGAACTTTACAACACAAAGGGGTCTGTTGCCTCAAGGGTCAGAACCTCTGGTAAGATCACCTTGCATACGTTTGCTTTAATACACAGGGCTGCAGCGCCCTCTACTGGTCTCTGGGTACACGCTCTTCAGCGGCCGTTCTCGGTGGGCCAAGTCAAAGACTCCAGACCTTGTTAAGTCAGAATCTTGGGCTGTGACCCAAAATGTCGGTAGTTTACCAAGCTCTCCAGGATCAGACGGAACTGAGGACTACTGTTTTAAGGATTAATTTGATATGTGAAAAAGTTGTGGCTTAGCAAGCAACAATGGGAACTAGAATTCTCCAGATGGAAGCACCCCAGTCTTGCATAATCAAAAGTAAAGTGTAGTATTAACCTAGACCTGGGTGCTGCACCTTCTCAGGAGCTGGGAGAATATAATGGCGCCACAAATGTCTAGGTCCAAAGTCCGGCTCAGCCGCCGTTGCGTTTGGAGTGCTGTTGGAAGGGGAAGCTGTGTGAGCAGACTCAGTGAATGATTTACACGTGCACCCTTGAACTTGGTCCTGCTTCGGGATCACTAAGCAGCCTGTTAGCCTGGAGACAGGTTGCTGGGCTGGTGTGTGGCTCAGTGGTGAAGGACTTGCCTAATATATGCTAAAGCCCGTATTCTACCCATGGCAACACTCACAAATTGCTAGGTCCCACCCCCTTGTTTCTCATTCTGTGAGTCCAACCACTTCCCAGGCAATGCCCGTGGCTCTGGTGTATAAAGAACTACCACTCTGAAAGCCTGTCAATCAGATGAGCATCCCCTTTCAGATCTGCACCCAGTTCAGCATCAAGGGCATCCCCACAGCACCTGCAGCTGCCCTCAGAACAGGTACACGTGGCAGGCAGGATAGCACATTTGTGCATAATAATTTGCAAAAGCAAAGTATCAATTCTCGCCAGGTGGGGGTGGCCCAAGCCTTTAATCCCAGCACTCGGGAGGCAGAGGCAGGCAGAACTATATTTCCAGGACAGTCAGGGCTACACAGAGAAACACTTTATTGGAAAATGAACAAGCCAAAAAAAACAAACAAACAAACAAATCAAGTCTTACATCCCAAATGCTTCTCTTCTCCCACTTGCACTTGCCAAATAGTTAAAGGTAACCTTGAAGCTGGGCAGTGGTGGCACACTTTAATCCCAGCATTCAGGAGGCAGAGGCAGGAGGATCTCTGTGAGTTCAAGGACAGTCTGGTCTACAGAGCTAGTTCCAGGACAGGCTCCAAAGCTACAGAGAAACCGAGTAACAAAAACAAAACAAAAACGGTAACCTTGAACTTCTGACCCTCCTACCTCCACCTCCCAAGCACTGTGACAGCAGACAGACAGAGGTTCACCACAGCACTTGGTTTGCGCGGTGTGGCGATCAAACTGTGCTTCCTGATGGAAAGGATGGAGAGGGAGGGGTCCCTAGAGGTGGGACTTGAGCAGAGCCCAACTCAACGAAGTTTCTGTTCTGAAAAAGCCCCAATCCTTTTGGACAGAGAACAGATGTTTTCATTCTAGGGTTGGGAAAGTGAACTTAGAGGCTTCCTTTGGGAAGTGAGGATGGGTCCTGCCATCCACAGTCAAAACAACTGTCCTGAATGTCTGGAACCTGCGTTTCTTTTTGTTTGCTAATATTTCTGTCATAAACCTAAGTAGTCACAAAGGATGCACAGAAATTTTGACATCTTAAAAACAGTTTTAGGCCAGCATGATCGCTCAGCTGGTAAATGAGCTTGAGCTTGCTGGCATCCTTGACAACCGAGTTCAACACCCAAGACCCTCATGATAGAAGGAGGCCTAAACGCACACACACATGAGAACACACACTGTAAAATACGAGTGTTGGAGATAGAGCAGGTTAGTAGAGTGCTTGCATACAGGAAGTTATGGGTCCCACCCCCGGCATCTTACACCTGAGTGTGGCAGTACATGCTTATAATTTTAGCACTTGGAAGGTGGAGATAAATTCAACATTGACCGGGCAATGGTGGTGCACATTTTTAATTCCAGCACCCCAGAGACAGAGACAGGAGATCCCTGTGAGTTCGAGACCAGCCTGGTCTACAGAGCTAGTTCCAGAACAGGCTCTAAAGCTACAGAGAAACCCTGTCTCGAAACACAAAAACCACAAAAAAGTTCAAGGTTGTCCATGGCTATGGAGCAAGTTGGAGGCCAACCTGGGCTACACGAGACTCTTAAAAATACAGGCTGGTGCGATGGTTCAAGGGGTAAAGGTGCTTGCTGCAGGAGTTGGGTCCCCAGAACCCACCTGGAGGAGGAGAGAACCAACTCCCGCAGGTTGTCTTCTGACCTCCACACCCACTCCGTGGCATGTTCATACCTACATAGACACAGAATAAATGTATTGAAAACAAAAGGCAAAATATTTTCCCAAATCAACAGAACCCAACATTGGCATGTAAGTGCAAACAAACCTCCATAGTATAGCCATTTTGATTTTAACTTTGCCAGTTGTTTTTTTTTTTTTGTTCTGTTTTTGAGATGGCTCCCTTGTAACCCAGGTGTTTTCCAACTTGCTAAGTAGCCCAGGATGACCTTGTACCCCTCAGCCTTTGTTCTCGCCTCCCAAGTGTTGGGGTGAACAGGCATGTGTCACCACTGCCCAGTATTTTATCTTTAGAGACAGTGCCTCCGTCTGTAGGCCGAGCTGGCTTTCATGTTCGTCACATCCTCAGTTTTCAGAAACACATGAAAAGACTCTTGGAAAGGTAAGCTGGGTGTGGGGGCAAGCGGTTGGAATCCTAACACTGGGATGTGGGAGGCAAGAGGATCAGAAGTTCAAATTTCTTCTTGGCTACACAGAAAATGCGGGGATATTAAATCAACTTGATACAAGGGGGGGAAAGAAAATGTGGGGGCAGCCTGAGCTACATGAGACCCTGTCTCAAAAAAATCAAATCAAATAAACATTGAAGTTGAAATATAGATAAATGAATTGGAAAATCAGTGCAGAAGAAGCAAGCCTGATTTTTCAAGTTTATCATATACTGTATATTATTATTAAATTTTTTTTTAAAAAAAAGGATTTTATTTACAATGTATACAATGTTTTTGTCTGCATATATGCCTGCAGGCCAGAAGAGGGCACCAGATCTCATTAAAGATGGTTGTGAGCCACCTTGTGGTTGCTGGGAACTGAACTCAAGACCTCTGAAAGAGCAGTCTATTTTATTACATTATTTTATATTTTATTTTGGGGTGGGGGGGTGGGGTCAAGCCAGGGTTTCTCTGTGTAGCCCTGGCTGTTCTCGAACTAGGTCTGTAGACCAGGCTGTCCTGGAATTCACAGAGATCCACCTGCCTCTGCCTCCCTAGTGCTGGGATTAAAGGCGTGCGCCACCACCGCCCTGCGTACACTGTTAATTTTACACCGGATTCTCAGAACCCAGAGGCGGGACGGGCTGCAGGTCCCCCTAGGCAGACGTGGGTGTGCTGCGTGTGTCACTAGATCTTAAAAGGCTGAATATCACTGGGCATCCGATCAGAAACCGGACGCCTTCCCGGGCGTCAGTGGCAAAGAGCGCGTGTGTCATTCGGTCTCTTGCAAACATCCGAACACCGCCCTCTCCCCGCACAAGCCACGCCCCCGTCTATAGCTCCTCCCCTTCTGGTCTAGCACACCCACTCAAGACGGACCAATCAGAAGAGGCCTTAGGCGGGCGCTACGGCCCAGGGAACCAATAGACAGACAGCAGAAGCCGGGCTTGTCCGGGCAAGCAGCCGGCTCAGCCGGCAGGGATTCCACGTGTAGGCCGGGAAATGCGGCCGGGTTTTCAGGTAAGATGGGGGTCGGCCGTGGGGGATCTCGGGCCGCCGGTTCCTGTCACCAGTCGCCTGCCGGTCTCAGGGCGGAGCGGTGTGCAGCCAGGCCGGCGTGCGGCCGGCCTCACGCGATCCCGGCCTGGCTTGGGGGCTGTGGGCCTGCGGAGGGGGCGGTGCTGGCGAGGAGCGTAAACCGGACGGCACAACCTCTGGGGAGCACGGGGCTCTCCTCGCACTTTTTCTTTTATTTTTATTTTTTCCTTGGTCTGGCAAGCTTTTGGATAGCACCAAGAACCTTATTGCGCCAGACTTTCCCAAATCGGGGTGATTGATTATCAGTATCGTGACCTGAGGATAGGGTCTCGGGTCCTGTCCCCCAACCTTTGCCTTCTACCTATTCCAAGCTCGCGGTTAGTGGTTAAGGGACAGTGACTTCCCGAGGTCATCTGGTTAGTTCGTGCTAGAACAGGGTCTCGACCGGCCTTCTGATAGACATCTGGTCTACCAGCAGGCAGGTGGCCCTTAGACTTTGCAGTTCCTTGGGAGCCGTCTCATCTGGAGTCCTTTAGGACCAGGGACCGTCACCGGAAAGCCGAGTGCCTACCATATTGACTTTTGACCAGAATTAAGGTGAGAAAACTTGGTGGGTGCCCTTGCCGACAGGGCTGTGGCCTCTACTTCACTGCAGCTAAATTGAGCTCCATTCAGGGGCTGCCAGCCCTATAAGTGGGTTCCCTTGGTAATTGTTGGTTCCGACATCTCCATAGGGCTAGAGACGGTAGGAGATGACTGCTCTTATCTCTTCAAATACAAGGCCACACAGTCAACTTCTCGAGGGACCCTAATTTTAGCTTCTTTCAAACCTTGCCAGCAGGGAAAGTCTGTCCTCCCCCAAAGTCCATGATCAGCAGGGCCAGCGCAGGAGGTCTTGTAGGCCGGTTTTCCTCCCACTGCTGGACCGAGGCAAACTGAGATGCAGTTAATTTTGTGGATAGGAGGGAGTTGCTGACAACCTCTTTTGCAAAGACGGGGTTCTCTTTTGGAGACCAGAGGAGCAGGCTGAGAGCAGGTGAGTCAGCAAGAGTCACTGAGTCTCCCCCTGGCTAAGTGGGTCAGTACTCCTCTGGCATCAGCAAACACAGCGCTCCCCTCCTCATTGGCTTCCTACTCCTGTGCCACTCCCACCCAGGCTCCCAGTCTGACCTCATCCTCCAGTGAGGTAGCTGTGACCTCCCCTAAAGCCCTCCTGTGACTCCCTCTCCTTGTCTTACTGAGCTCAGCCTGTGTCCCTTGCAGTGGCTCACCGTGCTCACCCACCTGTCTCCACGCCCCCTGCTACCTCGCTGCTCACAGACTGCACCCGATTCTTGCCTCCTTCCCCCCTTGGCTTTGTGTCTGCCTGTCGCTTCTCTTTTCTGAGCAGCCCCTCCCTCTCTGGGCTGCCTGGGAAATCCATCTGCAATCCCGCAGCATCCCCTCTAATTGCCAGGCTCTCCCTGTTTGGGTGCCTGCCTAGCTTCTCAGTTTCCCTTCCCGTCCGTCCCTTTGCTCTGTGGTTCAAAGGACGTTGAGCTCTGTGGTACCCCCAGACCAGACAACTGGGAGACCCAGCTTGGGCTTCTGAAGATAGTCTTCCTTCAGATAAGGAGAGTGGACACAGGAGGGCTCTGCAGCTTGCTGCCATGAGGGACCCATGAGGAGGACCACCTGTTTCTTTGCTCCCCTGATAGACAGTTAACGTCCTAGATCAGTACTACTGGTCCAGTTACTGGTCCAGCTGGGTGTCTCGGGCCTCCCTCACTTGACCAACAGACACCAGACTGAGTACACCAGCCTGGGGCAAGGGTGGCTCGTGGAAGGATCACAAAGGTCAGTGGCAGAAGATGAAGCTGTAATCCATCTTATACTTTATAGTGTGACCTGGTGACCTCAGGTGGCCCCTCTGCCCGAGTACTAGGTTATTCCTCTTACAGGCCTTCATCCTTGGTGTCTCTGCTGCCCCCTCCCTCTTCCCCGTGGGGTTACTGTTCCCCATGTAAACGGAAGTGACTTCTAGGAACCATCCGCAGGCCCTTAGTCTTGTTTCGCCTTCTCGTGCTTCTAACCAGCTCTCGGCACACCGTCGGCTGCATCTCTGTGTCTCCAGGCAGCCCAGGCTTCTCGGCGAAGGATCCAACTTCTCAGCCGCCCAGCTTCTGGCACAGTTGGGACCCCAGAGAACCTCCTGGCGATGCTGGGAGATGCAGGGGTTCCAGAGCTGAAGCTGGATTGGCAGGCCTTGGAGGGGTGTCTGTTGGGAGGGGCAGTGAGTCCAGATGGAGGCCGCTCCGGCCTAAGGATAGGATAGCTGGCTGCCCAATGTGGGGTAGAGAATCAGCCTCTCTGGAGGAAGGGGCAGGGAGCTAGCTATGGAGCCTTACTGTGCGTGGGGTGTATGTATGCCAGACCTGGGGGGAGGGGAGCACAGCAGTTTCTAGAGTTAAGCCTTGCTCTGCAAATTTCAGCTTTGGGGCTTTCGGATGAGCGATGTTCAGCTGGAATCAGTCTCTGTAACCTTTGCTTTCCTGTAGCTGTCCTCCTAACAGTCTGGTAAGCTACTGCTTTTAGAGGCGAGCTTCAGCGTGGACTCTGGATTCCTAACAGCCTTTAACCAAGTTCTTCAGCTCCCAGGCCTCATTTCCCTTGTGCAAAATAAGGGCGATGGTACTTGGTGATATCAGTGGGAGGTGGAATGACTCCACGTGGCATTTGCAGAAGGCATGTATGGTATGTGCGGTGTTCACATGCAGTTCTTAGTAAAGGTGTCTTGAGTTTCGGTCAGGTGCTTGAGCTGCAAATACCACAAGGTGAGAGGCAGTGTGGCCTGGCGTCCTCCTCCCAGCCCCTCTTCCTATGTGATCTCTCTCTCCAGTGCACTGCCCCGTTGGAAGATAGCCTCCTCTTGCCTCTAGCTGTGAGCTGCCTGGCATGGTGCTGGGAGAAGCCCCTGAGTCTGCTCAGTGTCCATCCCTTACCGGCCTGAATACCAAGGATGTGGTTCGGAAAAGGCACAAGAGGAGAAGCCGGCAGCACCAGCGGTTCATGGCCCGCAAAGCCTTGCTCCAGGAGCAGGAGTTGTCAGGCATGGCCCCAGGGCCAGGATCCTGCTCTCCGACATCCCTGTCACAGACACCAGCAGACACGGAGGCTTCGGGCAGCAGAAGGCAGCGTCCCAAGGCCAGGTCTAGCAGCAAAAGGCCTATTCCTAGAGAAGCCCCAGGACCTGGGCCCAGCAAGTGTGTAGCCATTGACTGTGAGATGGTGGGGACAGGCCCCCATGGGCGTGTGAGTGAGCTGGCCCGCTGCTCTGTGGTGAGTTACAACGGTGATGTTCTCTACGACAAGTACGTCCGGCCTGAGATGCCCATTGTGGACTACCGTACCCGCTGGAGCGGCATCACCCGCCAGCACATGCGCAAGGCCATCCCCTTCCAGGTGGCCCAGAAAGAGGTGAGGACCAGAATGGCAGGTTGGGGAGAGAAGCCATAATTTAAGTTGCCACCGGGGAGTGTGGGGCCCTGAGAAATCACTTCAGCAAACACCCAGTTCCTTTTCCAGAGACTGGGTTATTAAAATGCAGGTGCTGCCCCTGCAGGGCTGCCAGGCAAGGCAGGGAGCAGCTGCTGGGAAGGCTTTGGGGAAGGGGAAGCACAACAACTCACAAAACGTTTGGAGGCCGGAAAATTTGCCTACAGTCCGGTCACGTTCAAGGGCCACTGTTTCTGCCCATCTCCTTATGGCTTCTCAGTGCTTGGGAAAATGATTACTAGTCGGGGGATCCCACTAATATACTAGGAATCTGCAAAGGCGTGCAACCTCGGGAACCGTTAAAGCCTTGTAAGTAGACTGGGATCCTTGCCCCAGGGTCATTTATGAAGACTGTTCCCATTGTCTCTAGGGCTCTGATATGGTTGTCTAAAAATCATAGCTAAGATGGGCCCATAAATAAGCCACAGGGTTAATTAATCAACAGAACCGTGCCTAGAATTATAGTATTGTATTAATAATTGATGTGATTATATGCAAATATATTATAAATAATACATATATTAATGTATTAAAGATGTATTTATAAGGCACAACACTCAAAAGACTTGGTGCTGCCACGGAAAAAAAGAGAGACCTAATTAAAATGGCACTACAGTTTTGCCTATGGTTAGGAAATGCAGGGGACACCAGTAATGAGACCCGTGACTAGGAAAGGCCTGAAGCTTGCTGTGGCGGCAAGGGCAGGAGGAGGCTGTGGGATGTGGGGGTGGAGGTCCTGAGTCTGACACTGTTCGACTGCCGTGGCTCAGCACCAGGCAAGCAGACAGTTGCTGGCAGATGTTTGAGATCTGTAGTGCTAGGTGCTCTTGGTTCTACTCAGCTGGCAGCAGCTCTCTGCAGTCATGTAGGGTTTCTTCAGGGGTAAAATTATGCAGAAATAAAGGTGAAATTACACTCTTGGGTTGTACCCTGTCACAGTTGTATTAGAACAGAACTACTTTTTATTGGGATTAGGACGGTTTGGGAAATACTGATAAACCTCATCTTGTGACTTTTGTCACAGTATACCGACTACTTTTGTTAGCTTGACATAAGCAAAGTCATTTGGGAAGCATGAACTGAAATTGAGAAAATGCCCCCACCAGATTGGCCTGTGAGCAAGCCTGTGCTATATTTTCTTGATTGATGATTTTCTGTGGGAGGGCCCAGCCCACTGTGGTCAGTGCTACCCCTGGGCTTGTGGTCCTGGGCGTATAAGAAAGCAAGCTGAACAAGCCAGTAAGTGGCACGTCTCCATGGCCTCTGCAGCAGCTCCTGCCGTTGAGTTCCTTCCTGTCCTGACCTCCCTCAGTGATGGATTGCGGTATGGAACTGAAAGATGAAATAAACCCTTTCCTTCCCAAGTTGTTTTGGTGTTTTATCACAGCAATAGAAACCCTAAGTTAGATTTGTTCCATGATGCCCTAAGCATTGCTTTGGAAAGACTTGATCATGATTAGAAGGAGTAGGAACATAAGTTCATGTGAGCCCTCCAACTCTGATCCCTGCCATCCAGGTTTGTAGTTGGTGGAGATCCTCAGATCCACTTGGGAGATAGGTTTGATCTCCGTCCCACTTGAAGAGGCTGGGGGTGATCCCAACCAAAAACCTAAATGTGTCTTACTCATCTGCCACAAAAACTGGGTCCCATGCTAACGGGTGGGCTGTGGAAGGCTAACAGCTGATGATGGGAGTTAGCAGGCCTTTAGCCCTGCCTGTTTCCCTGAGTGTGAGGAAGGTGCTGGGCAGGGAGGAACAGGATGTGCCCAAACAGAGCTGCAGAGCAGGTTTAGAGGGTACGGTGGAGGAGCCAGTGCCCACAGGAGCAAGGAACAAGGGCTTCTGTTTAACTGTGTATCTGCCAGGGCCGGGCATGGTTCTATTGGTTTCATTCAACAGGTCTTTATTGTTCTGAAAATAAGTTGGCTGGGAGGCTGAGGTAGGAGGATTGATGTTGTAGCTTGGACTGCTGAGTGAGAGCCTTGTCTCCAAAGGACCGGTCCAACCAACAAAAGCAAATCAGTAAATGCTGTGCTCCCGTGAGCAGTACTGGTCAAGCCAAATGGAGCTAACTGCAGGGGTGGGGGTGGGGTGACTAGATCATCCCAAGAGCTAACTGTGAAAGCCAGATCCATACTTAGAAAGTGTAGATAGCTTAAAAGAAGGACCAGGGCTCCTTCCTAGGTTGATAAGAATCATGGGAGCCCCTCCAAGGAAGGCTGATGAGCTGAGACGTGAGGGGCTAAGAAGGCCTTGCAGCCAAGAAGCACCTGTGCCAGTGGAAGCCGCTGGGATAGCTCGACTTGAAAGCTGGCTCACATCCATGGCTTCCTTTGACCCTCAAAACTGTCTCCTGGAATGCTGGGATAGTATCCCTTTTGCTAAGGTACATTGGTATTCAAACTTGGGGCATCACGGTCAACTTGGGCGCCTAGACTACCCTCCCTCACTGCTGCCTTCCTGTAGAGGGGTCCATGCCCAGTGCTAAGGGAGCTCAGGCGTATCTCCTTCCTGACAAGGGCTGCCTCCTCTCCTCACAGATCCTCAAGCTCTTGAAGGGCAAGGTGGTGGTGGGGCACGCGCTGCACAATGACTTCCAGGCCCTCAAGTATGTTCATCCTCGGAGCCAGACCCGGGATACCACTTACGTCCCAAACCTGCTCAGTCATCCCAGCTCCCACACCCGAGCTCGGGTCTCCCTTAAGGACCTGGCCCTGCACTTGCTCCACAAGAAGATCCAGGTATGTGGTGCCGAATTTCTTGGGAGAGGGGGTGGCTCATCTGACTGTCATAGCTGCTAAACTGGGGATAGGGCTGTGGACCGTCGCTTACATACAAGCCACACCAGTGTAGCCCCTTCCTTTCCTGTGTGAATTCCCTAGTGATTATCGGGTTTTTCTAGGCTCATCTCGTTCTTAGCCCACCTGACTCCGGGCTATATCCTGTATAGCCTATATCCCATAGGATGTATTCTGACTCACACTTAGATCAAGGGGCCTGTGACTCTGTTGGGTCTTGATATCCATCTTCTAACTTACTGAGCAGGAATTTTTTTTTAATGTGTATTGGTGTTTGACCTGCATGTGACTCTCTATGCCCCACACGCCTGGCTTGCTTTTGGGGGCTAGAAGAGGGCATCAGATCCTCTGGGACTGGAGTTATCGACAGTTGTGAGCTGCCATATAGGTGCTAGGAATTGAGCCTCGGTTCTAGGGATGAGCAGCCAGTGTTCTTATAGCCACTGTGCATTCTCTGCAGCCCCAACATAAAGGGAGGGTTATTTTGGTTCATGGTTTACCCGGGTACACGTGCTAAGGCAGAATCTCATGGTGGTGGGAGCATGTGCAGTTATATACCCCACAGTGACTAGGAAACAGAGAGGAATATTCTCAAGTTCATTCTCTGGTGATCTGTTTCCTTAAGCTAAGACCTACCTTAGAGTTTCTAATGTCTTTCAGAATAGAACCGTCAGCTGGGTAACAAGCCCACAACACAGGAGCCTTTGGGATATAGTTCGTTTCTAAATCGTAATAGCCTCCATCCTGGGATGTGTGCTCTTGACCCTTAGAAGCCGGCTTCGCTTTTGCGTTAGGGTCAGGCCCATTTCAGCACCTAGTGATGTCTTTTGCTCCTGTCCACAGGTAGGACATCAGGGACACTCGTCTGTGGAAGATGCCATGACAGCCATGGAGCTCTACAAGCTAGTAGAGGTGCAGTGGGAACAGCAAGAGGCCGACAATGCCAAGGCCCAACCCGAGGACGGGGCACCCGACAGCAGCACTGACGTAGAGCAGTACATGGAGGACCAGTACTGGCCTGACGAGCTGGCCTAGAGCACCAGTGGAGACATAAGGGAGTGAGCGGATGGAGCCTGTGGGTGGCGGATGGGGCAGGAAGCCCGGAGTGGTCCCTCTAGGCAGACCTGGGAGATGGGGTCAGGGCACTCAGCTGTCCACATGCAGGTTCACAGCACCTGGTATCAAGGGATACTTTTCTTCAATCCCTCTGGTTTTACAAAGGACACTAGCGTTGTAGTGCCCAGGAGGTATAGGGAAAGTGTCACAGGACTGTCCAAGGCTGTTCTGGCATACAGTGTCTCCCTGGGGGTGCTGGGTGCTGTGGGTGTCCTGGAGCTCCCTCTCCCCCTGGGTGAAGTTCCGCTGCTGGTGCCACCTCTCCTCTACAGATATGTTTAGGATCATAGTAACTTAAATAGTTAAGAAAGCCCTTTAAAAAAGACACCCGTTCCCTGTCCCTGACTTTCTTAGATGTCCTATGTCCTAAGGGTAACTTTAGGGGACTAGTAAGCAAGGGTTCAGATCACACCATTCCCTGACAAAGCCTCATCGTTAGGCAAGCCTGTGGCATCCCGTTGAGCCTGTTTTCTCCTGTAAAGTGGGGGAGTGCGATAGAATCTACCTCGTGGATATTGAGGTGCTTCGTGTGTGTCCTTGTGATGAAAGAGAATGGTCTCTATTCCGGCCACTGCCTGGCTTCCCAGCCACTGTGGCCCAGGCAGGATTCTGGCTTGGCTTTTCCAGCAGGTGAGGTGGAGCCAGGGCCCGGGCACTGCAGGAGAGTTCAGAGTTGTCTGCAGGTCTTGCTTCATAGCAGCATCCTGCCCGCTGTGGTATTTGGGAAAGTGACAACAGTGACACAGGGTCAGAAAGGAAGAGACACTACCGAGACCACACTTGACTGCTGTCAGCCAAGGCCCTGATTGCACAAAACCTTAGTCATGGATTGTTTGCTGCCAGCTCCTCCCTGCCAGGGGAAGAGAGGGAGCTGGCCCAATCATCACCACTTCTGGCCTGGTGCCAGGGGCAAGCTCTGGTTTCCTTAAAAAGCAGCAACTTGTGCCAACCTCACTGCTGGGTGAATCTTGATGGCTTCATTTGCAGGTTGAAGGGTGGTGGGATGGATAGCCTGTGTACAGGGAGAAGCCTGCTTGCTCGTGTAGGATCATTAATGTGGGAATAAAACTGGACAAGTGGCTGAAGTGTTCCTCTCTAAGAGTCAGGCAGGGCGGAAGGGGGGTTGGCTGAGGGGTGGGGAGGGCTAGAGCCCTGAGTTTTTCTGGGTGCCTGTCTTAAGGTGGCATCTTTCAGAAGGGTACACGTTAGATCTAAAGCAGCTTCCGGCTTCCTTTTGGAGTTGCCCTGTTACACAGCACATGATCTAATTTGATCTCTCCCCAAAGCTGTATTCTCACATTAAAAATCGGGGGATTTTTGTTTGCTGTTGGAAAAGGATCTCATGATAGAGCCCACGCTGCCTATGACTCCTTGCGGAGCTCAGGCAATCCTCCAGCCTCAGCCCATGCAGTCAGTGCTGGCACTGGAAGCATGTGTTGCCATTCCTGTTGGACTTCACTCTTTAGGAGTGAGATTCCTTTGTGTGTGTATAATATAAAGTCCACCTGGCCCTGCATACTTGCGCAGTCATTTCCCCCTTGGCCAATGCTAATAAAGCAGCCATAAGCATGACATACAGACATCACTCATATCCTGCTTTCAAATAGTTGGATAGATTCCCAGTAAGGGAACTGCTGGGTCATGTGGTAATTCCGTGTTTAGTTGTGTGGGCAGCTCACTCTTCCGCAGCAGCTGCGGCGTTTATGTTCCCAACAACAGCTCACAAGAGCTTCAATTGAATTGAAGAAGGGTCTCAGCGTATGACCGAGGTGGACTTGGAGCTTGTGTAGACCCTCTTGCCTCCTCCTCGATTCAAGACAGTTGAGCTTATAGGGCTGGTTGCCTCTAGGGAGAGCTGCCTCTCATGCGATCGATTGTCTTAGTCTGTTTTGTAGTAGATAATAAAAAGACCTGAGGCTGGGACTTGGTGAAGACTTAAATAAAGACTTGGGGTGCAGGGCTCTGCTCATGGCCCTGTGGTGGATGATGTGATCGTGGAAGCACACGTGGAAAGGACCCCACAACGAGACAGGAGGTGGGAGAGGGCTCGCTCACACAGTGAAACCACTCTAAGCCCACGTGTACTATGGCAAAGGCAAATACAGTTCACGAAGGCCTAGAACTCCCAAGGGACCGTATTAATCTGTTCGTGAAGATGGCATGTGTGTTGTCCGCCCTCACTTTCCTCCGTGACTCACTGTGGGAAAGTAGCTAGCTCTCCAGGATGCTGAGCTGGTAGGTGGTGTGGAGCCCTGTTCCTTAAGCAAAACAGATGAGCTGCACCTGCTTATGGTTAGGCTTCTTGACGATTGATAGTCCCTCAGGGAGGGGCTAGAGGGGTTCTCGGGACCCACAGCTGAAATTTCAGCTGCTCCCCAACCATCACTATGCACTTCTGCCCTAATCACATGGGGTCTGGGCAGTGGTAGAGTAATCTGAGCTGGGGAAGACTGCAGCTCCAGCGATGGGGCCATGGGAAACCATCGTCCATACAGGGTGAAGCCTTAACCAATGGGTTTTGACGTCCTCCCAGGATCCTGTGAGTAGCCTTGCCATGAATTCATCGGTTCCCCCAAGCTGTACCTTGATGGAATTGTTCTTTGGCTTGTTGGGGCCTTTCAAAGGGGAAGTAGTAGACACTGTTTCCCCGAAAAGCGATTTTTGAAAGGGCAGCAAATGCCAGGCTGAGATATGAGCATGCCGGAAAGTACCCTCAAAGTCCTGCCATGGGACTCCCACCTAGAGTGGTTCCGCCAGCCCAACGTTTCTCAGCCTGTGGGTCGCGACCCCTTTTGGGGTCATATGACCCTTTCACAGGAGTCACAGATAATTGGCATGTCAGACAGTTTCATTACAGTTTTTTTTTGTTTGTTTTTTTTTTTTTTTTTTTTTTTT